TCCACAGAATAAATCCTACAGAACAACAATGTATCATTCTTCAATCATTAAGTATACTTTAATAGCTCTAAATCATTCATAAAATATTAATAAAAATATTCATAAAGAGGGTTGGGACTTAAATTTAGCAAATTCTATTTCTCATCCATTCAAAAAACAACTGGATTGATATTGTGCCAACTTGATACATTAAACTGATATTTTTCTGTTGTGCTGTACTTTAAACCACTATTAACTTGTATTTTTGTTGTTAGTGTAATAATGATTAAATTTGTATTACATTAGTTTTGTTTATTGTACACCATGGTGCCCAATGTGACATATACATTGTGTTGAACAATCAAAATATTTTGTAAGGGGTGGTTGATTTAGTTCCCATCTCAGCTGTGTTCTTTGCAAAGAGTTAACCATTTATTTAATTATTGACATTACCCTGTAGACTTGTGTCCAACATTCAACTCCCATAAGCACCTTCCATTGAATTTCTATTGCGATTATTTGATTACTTATGGCATGTTATTGATTTAATAGTCTTTGTACTTTCACTTTATGCTTTAACCCTCTGTAGCCACAGCTCAAAGAAGTGTTAATTTCACCTTGCAAAACATATTCATGAATTTTTACAATTTTGATATCTATCTGAAGTGTCTGTCATTCTCAAACAAATTAAGCTACCCCCTCTTGGTCTTCTCTTTCTAATTATTTCCTATACTTTGGTATCATTGCAATCTGTGTAAAGGTGCTTTGCCAGAACAGTGATATGATATCCAGACAGTCAGATTTTCAAAATAAATAATGGAAAATTCAGTGCAGAATTCAAGAATCAAGTCAAAAGTCTCTAAGGCCGAGGTTTCTCTTGAAGGAGACAACAGGATGCATTGTAGCTACTTAATTGTAGCATCACCTCACCAAACCAAACCATTGATGGTTCAGTCTACCCAGTGATCTCCCCAGCATTAAAGCAAGTGAGCGCAGCACACACCCTAGATTTAGGCTTGCACCCACCTGAAAATCCATTTGCACCCACTTGAAAATGAGAAAATCATGAAAAATTGGCATATTTTGACCAATTTTGGTCTGAATTGTGAAAATGAGAATTTTGCACCCACTTGAGAAAAAATCCTGTGGAGATCACTGCTTCCCTTTTCAAAATTTGGTTTTGCTTCTTTAAAATTGAGGTTCATCAACAACTCGGAGCTTGTATTTGTTTCGAACATTTAAGTCTCAAAATACAAGCCAATGAGCTATTATTTCTTCTCGCGAATCAGAAATTACAGAATGAATCGATTGGTAATACAAGATGTACCAAGCTAACTATTAGTTTCATTCCATTTTCTAGAAAGGTGACTAATATATATATAAACCTGTAATAGGTACTTACGATTTCTAGAAGTCAAGCATGTTTCTTGGAAATTGGATAATATTATTTAATATACTACATATTACTAATAAATATGTAATACAAGGCATTTAGAAAATGTTAACACCTCACTACATTCAATACTTAAAGTTGAAGTTATCTTAGCGTTAATCCAGAAGTTCATTGTCATGGTAACAAATGTTGTTGCCTAAAATCTGAATATATTAATTACTGTAGATTGGGTTAATTTGGCGCTACTTAATTTGGCGATTTTGCCATTTTTGGCATATTGGCGGCTATTTAATTTGGCGGATATGCAAAAAAATGTTAATGGAATGTTAAACTTATGCGCTGTTTGCGAATTACCATGTAGATCTAGATCTAAATGGGCATGTTTGGCTATGTTCATTTTTTCTTTTGAGGACCACTGGCGATATTCATCACGTTTGTACATTTTTGTGAGATCATCCTTTACATTTTACACCTCAATCGATGCTGCTACATTTCCCTGAGTATAAATGAGTGACTGACCAGTTCTGAGCCAATTTATGAGAGACATTTTTTCATATTTTTGGAAAAAAATAAACTGGAAGTGACCTTAATACACTGGACGAAATACCCTAGATGATTCCCGGGGATTCATTCTAAATTTTGGCGGAGATTTATATTGGCGAATTTTTCAATTTCGCCAAATTCGCCAAATTAAAGCGGGCGCCAAATTAACCCAATCTACAGTACATGCTAAAGGTGATCACTGTACAACCTTCAAGTCAAGCTGACCAATCACTATTTAACAAATGTTAGGTGAATAACGGGCTATTTAAGTCACATAATTTGTTGCCATGGTAACAGATGTTACCTAAAATCCTCAGTAATGTAACATCTCAAACAAGATCACAGGAACAATATAGAAAACTATATTAAACAAGGCATCTCACCACCTGCTATTTGTTACAGACACCGACCACTGAACACCAAACGCAGAACACCATCCTCGAAAAGTTGGGAGACCACAAAAATCACTTGTGGTGGTGACATAATAAACCGTATATTACCCAACCCAGATAAAAAGAATCCTAAGATAAAGAATAGCTAATCAAACCATATATGGAAAAATCAATTTTCGAAGAGCAGACATGAATGTGACCATAGAACTTTCAAATGTCACTGTCAGCAAGATTTCATTTCCTACAAATCAAGTATTTATAGCATCTAATTGATTTTCTACACATGTTGCAAATGATGGCATGTTACAATAGATGGGATAATCTTAGATTTGGTCGAATAAATTTTTTGCCCTAGCACCAACAGACCACGGCAAATTCTGTCATTTATAAGCTTGCCATTTTTTAATGGTTTATCAACAACTCAAATGCTTTTCATTTTTATTCTTTTATGAAATCCAACATGCAGATATGTTTTAAAATGGAGAGGAAGCTCTCACCTGAACAAGCATATGGTAATATCAAGCTTTCATATCAACTTTTGGAAAGAGTATTACAAAATTGGCAAAGGTGAATAACTTTTTGAGAGAAGGGTTAATAAAATTCTGAAAATTTGGCCTGAGTTCATTTCAGATGCTTATTGCGTGTTTAGATTCCCTTGTGTCCGAGTACACCATTTATATAACTCAATATAACTCTGTCATATAACTCAATATAATTCTGTCATATTACGCAGATCTTCATAATCTCTATACTGTATTATAACATAAACCTGCTTGGCAAATCAGGCCACCACATGATGTCATAAGAATTCTAGTGCCAAAATGGGTACTACAATTTCGCAACATTGTAAATCCTCCATGGGGTTTTCCTACCTCTGCCAAATTGTGGTGAGACATTCAAAGCGGGATATTTGTACCTAGATATTCACTCAGAGTGGGCTTCAAACCATTTGAAATTTCACCTATATGTGTTTTTTACTAGCCTGACATGGGAGACCATGATGGGCAATTACCCATAATTCAAAGCAAACCTATCTTCATGTTAAATAATTTCTTGGTTTCATGATGCAGATGCAGTGAAACAAACTTTAACCTCAACCCTCAAACTCTCTCCATATAAATTTGAAAATGTTGATCGTCACAGCTAAGTTCACACCAACAGCGCTTTGATGGCGCTTTTAAGCGGCTTTGCAGGCTGCTTTAAAGTGCTATCAAAGCGCCGTTGGTGTGAACTTAGCGTTAACTGAAAAAAAAATCGTTCACAACTATAACATCATTGGTCCAGTAGTATTCTACTTCTTTCAGTGCTTTCAGTAGGGTCATCCAAGAGTGGGACTCTTACCCCTACCCTAAAACTCCCAAACTCGCTTATGAGTTTGGAAATGTCATACCATGGTAATCAAAGATACAAACAGCCTCTATATAATGAAATATGGAAATGTTGATTGTCACTTATATTGAAATTGAACTTATGAAATTCAGTTCTTCAAAACTGTGGCATTATTGGTCCTTGAATGCCTAGAGTATTTTACTTATTTCTAATTTTTGAATTGAAAAAGGAATGAAGCCTTTTGATGGAGGATCCAAGTAGCAACTATAGATGGACACACTCTCTAACCTCCTTTGCTTACTGATATATATATTTATTTTATTTACAAAAGTGTAAAAGCATGACACATTATGCCTGGGTCACATTTGCTCCGATCCATCGGCTGGCGCCCGGCCGATTGAGTGTTTTGTTCAATATTGTATTGTAGTGAAAATCGGAGCAAATGTGAACAAGGCATTAGTCTATGTGCAATCTAAGAAACTAATCTAACTAAAAACTAACTATAAACTGCATGAATCCCGTTGCTACCTGCATGAATGCAACATAAAATTGCCTAATATCAAGCTATAAAACTGATTAATGATAGACCTCCCCCTGTGAGCATGTAATTTCCTAGAATTACAGCCATAATATGCTCATACAAGGAAACATTTCACATGATAATGGCTTTAAGGTTTAAAGAGCTCTTCTTAGGGAATTATGAGAATGTTTCTGGGATTCCATTTTATGAGGACATCATGGTCATATTATCGGCAGTTACAGTATGGTAATATGGCTGAATGAGCATGAGATGTAGGTCCTTGACCTTTCGAAGGACTAAAAACAGCAGCCAGACTATATGTACAGTAGAACCTGCTTAGCGGAACACTCTGTAAGTGTAACCTTCACAAGTGGAACAGCGTTTTTAAAGTCCCATGGCCTATCTTCTCCTTGTTAATGAACCACTGTGGAACACTTTTTTGTTGTCCCAATGGTGTTCCACAGATGGCCATTATGTTTCTCATTTTCAAATGGGTGCAAATAGATTTTAAGGTGGGTGCAAGCCTGTTCATAAAATCTCAGGTGGGTGCTGCGCCCACTTGCTTTAATGCTGGGGAGATCACTGTACTGTATACAAATATGTAAAGTGTCTGCATCAATTACATCCTTCATCAAGAGGTTTCACTGCTCTTTCTATGCCCTTGGACCAAGGATGCATCAATAACTGAAATTTTGGCATTTACCTTCTTCACAAATATACCATTTGCCCATTCTGATACTCATAACATCTTACTGCCTTGAACTAGAAATACTCTAAAGAGAAGCCAATAGAAGGCCATTATTTCCCACGATGCCATTTGCCCAGTTTATATAACTCGACTTACCCGATTCTTGAAGGTATCTATAAACTAAGAAGTTTACTTCATCGCTACCGAAGCTCATTGCGAAGACAAAGTTAACGTCACCTCCTAATAACCAACATTAGTTACTGCTATGTAGTCCACCTCCTGAAAATACAAGTATTGTTTCATTTGAATTTGTATAAGTACAGAAGACAGTAATATAGTCCACCTCGTGAAAATACAAGCATCGTTTCATTTGAATTTCAATACAGAAGACAGTAATGTAGTCCACCTCCTGAAAATACAAGTATTGTTTCATTTGAATTTGTATAAGTACAGAAGACAGTAATATAGTCCACCTTGTGAAAATACAAGCATTGTTTCATATGAATTTCAATACAGAAGACAGTAATGTAGTCCACCTCCTGAAAATACAAGCATTGTTTCATTTGAATTTGTATAAATACAGAAGACAGTAATGTAGTCCACCTCCTGAAAATACAAGCAGTGTTTCATTTGAATTTGTATAAATACAGAAGACAGGAACTACATTGAGTATCTGCATTCTCCCTCGATCTATAGTCGAGTCTCTAGTCTAGTTAAAAGCCCCTGTGACTCCCCCCCCCCCCCCATTCACACCATCACCACAAGGTCTTGTATGCTCTGTGTCACTATCACTGATATGAAAAAATTATTCATAGAGATGCCTATCAGATTCTTTGTTGTATCTGCATTCCTTTCTTTCTTCTTCATGTCAGCTTGTGGAAGCAAGATGTGTTAGGAGGGGGGGGGAGAAATGCAATATATATACAGAAGCATCTCTCTTGAGGGTGTTTCATTAGAAATGAAACAAGATACATAATGATAATTTATTATCATACTTTTTATTCAAAAAATTCAAAATGGCCATGAAGTAATTTGTCCAGCATACCCGAAACCTAATCAGAACTTGACACTAGTCTGCTCTTGAAATGGTAAATATTTCAAGTTGAACATGCAGGCGATTTTTGTAGCGCCCAGCCACATTGATACACCCATCAGCAAAAGAAGACTACTTTGAAAAATGTGATTAAAATAGCCAGAATGAGAAAGACTGCCTCTCAGAATCTAAGATGTAAATGTAAGGGCAGCTACTGCAAGACATTCTTAGAGAAGTAAGAGATATTGAGCCTGTGAGGCAATGGGCATACATCCTCAATATCTTTCATAAGAACAGGTTGCCATGGAAACAGATCAATAATGAATGGCTGCTTCTCAAGTAAGGTTAATAAGCTACATTATCCTTCCATAATGGCCACACTGCAAGTTATCTATAAAACTTGCATTCTATTTTGATCTCTTTGAAATGAAGATATTATCGCTAAAGGGGGGTCTAATTGGAAATTCTACTTAATTTTGTAAGACTACTTTTTTGTATGATTCTGCAATATAACCCGTCGAAGGTTACACATGTACAAGACTTATGTCTAGAAAAAATAGATGCTATTATATAAAGCTGAATAACATGCATTTTTTAAAGCAACATAATATGATATCTAAAACCAGGTTAATATTTCGGTTTTGTTCCAAATTATATTTCAGATCAATCCCCATTAAAAAATGTAGTTGAACATTTTATGCTGCTTTTAAAAATTCATGTCAAGTCAATTTTTTACTTCAAAAATCTCTTGATACGGCAGACAATATTCAGTGTTATATGAATTTTTGGTCATGGGTTTACATGCATGTTTATATCTAAGTAGGGACTATGTTGAAAGATGGGAAATGGTGACATCATCTAAGCATAGTCAACAGTACTGGTTGATAGGCATTACATCACATGGCTTCATCAACAGTACTATCATTAAAGAAGAAGAATGACAAAAACTGAAAAAACAAGGCAGATTAGTTTGTCGTCAATATTGAACAAATATTTCACTCTATTGAGGTGAATACCTGTACATCTTTCACAAGTGATATTCCACGAAGCCCGAAGGGCAAGTGGAATATCACCTTGTGAAAGTGCTACAGGTATTCACCGAAAATAGAGTGAAATATTCGTTTTATTATATCACTGTCTAGCTAAACATCCCTAATATTATTAAGTCATAGGTTAACATTGAAATACATTGAATCTACTCGGTTCGTCTGCCATTTTGACTTACACTTAACTAAATTATTTACACTGAATGAAAACAAATTCTTTGAAAATTCCCGGGAGTGTGGGATATCGCTAGATATCTCACGGTTGTCTTATCTGATTAGCATTGCCATTGAATATCGCCAGATATCCCACGACATGTGACCCGGTTTTGACCAATCATACTGTCGCTAGCTAGATAGTGATATAATAAATAGGGATATCTATGAGATAATTCAACAAAATAAAACACTATGTTGAATGGCGGCATTTTAAATGGTGGCAGCGTATGGAATTAAATACGAGTAAAAGAACATTTTGTTTTGATTTATAATATTGTATTTTATGTAGTAAAATGGTAAATAAAGTTACTCTGTAAGACATCTTTGTGCTATTGCTATATGCTTTAAGGCTTGTTCAATTGATTCTTCACTCCATGAAACATTTTTTGTATGCTATTGGATATATTCTGAGTATTTGATTGAAGTATGAGGTCATGCTGCAATGACATATATGCATTCAATTTGAATTCTATATAATTTCAAAATACATTTTTGTAATTCATAGTATAAATAGCAATTGTAAATGCAATGGATTATGATGCAATACATGATTGATTGAACAACTGAGCATTTGAGTGCAGGGATGGCGTATCAGTTGTGGAAAAATTAAGTTAGTTTCATAAAGGAGGGGGCATATGATTATTTTGTTAATAATTGTGTTGATTTTTTCCATAATCAAGTACCCTGCGTGCAGAGTCTAGTTAAACTACACTCTGCCTAGTAGAAACTATATTACAGTTCAGTAGCCCCGCCCCCACGACGGGTGCCGGTGACAGTTCGGGTAATAAATCACTTCTGACCTACGCGCTGACCTTTCTTCCACCAATCAGCGAGCTTGAAGAAACAGGCGCCAAAATAAATTCTGAATTGTCATTGGTCAATTCCGGGCTTAACGATGACGTCAGAAGGAATGACCATATATAGAACGTCGGTCAAATTTGGCCGACGAGCACTGATTGGCGCGGTGAGTTCACAGGTTTGTTTTAGTTTGAAAGAGTGAAGACGGAGCTCTCTTTTAAGAAGTGAAGTCGAACGAATGCAAAGGGTAATAATCAAGTGAAAAACAAATCAATATTTCAAAATTTGGTTAGATTAGAGGATGGGGGGGGGGGCAAATCATAACGAAATGAACTTTGCTTTTTCATGACTGTTGATAAATTTAACACCATCCCTTATCCATTTCAAACAGTTAAAGCTGCACCCTAATTTTTAACACTAACAACTTTACTTGCAGCTTTTTTCACCAAACCAGGTCAATGCACCCATTGCCAACCAACACATGTTAGCCCTTGTAAGAGACTTTTGAAAACAAGGTTCTGAATTTGCGTGTTACTTTTCTTAAGCCCATGTTCAATTCAACGTATGTAACATTTTGGCTTTTTTTTATTAACCACGTTAATGTGATTCATAGTTTATTAAAATAAAAAAAAACAAGTACAATTTTTGATTAAAGTGTTGAAAGTCAATGCTATTTTGGAAGAGAACTATTTTTCATGATCTATTATAAACCGCACCATTATATTCTAATAAGTATAAATCTATAATATATCCTATTTTAGTGGCACTGTCTCTTATTGGAGTCTAATGCACTGGAGTCTGTAAACAACTTTTTCAGCAGCTATCATATTGACCTGGTATTAACGATATCCTGCCTCCCCTACTGGATGGGTCTATTATAGATTTACATTTAGTTATTTATCAGACCACAAGAAAAGTAGGGGTATAAGGTGTAAAAATGTTGTGTTCTCATTCTCACCCTTTGATATAGCTTTTTTATTGACAGCTTGGTTGAAAGTATAAAAGAAATGTCTATTAAAATTAATGGCCCCATTACTATGCTTCATAAATAATGTGTTTATGCATTAACCCATTATAACGAAATATGGTTGCATTATGAGGTCGGCAGTTTTCAATAAATCCATAATATAGATTTTAGAGCTGGTTTTGTATACTTAGTCTAATATTAATTAATTAATCCGATTTAAGGCCATCTTGAAAGAACAAAACGTATTAAAAAAAGCTCACCATGTGAGCTAACAAATAGAAATAAACATTGACAAGAACGCTATACCCGTGCCATAGTCGACATACTACCTCCCATGCCAAACAGTTTTTCACCATTTTAAGCAGTTTTCAAGTCATTTTGGGCCCCTATCCCCTTGGATATTTAAAAATCTGACCCCCTCCCCTCAGTGATCTCTCCAGCATTAAAGTAAGTGGGCGCAGCACCCACCTGAACAACCATTTGCACCCACTTGATCTAACCCTCTGATCACTCTAGTAACATACTATTGCCTCATTTTAATTTCACAGGTTCTAACATATTAATGAGACTTATAAAATACCATGAACACACCACATGATGACCTTTGTTTATACATACTGTACTTCTACTTAATTTGGTGACTGTTTTAATTTCCCCAAATTGTTAAAAGTCAACCAAATAGTAGCCACCTAATTCCCCGGAAATTTTAGCACCAAATTCCCTGGTAATTTTAGTACTGTATAATGCAGAACCATTAGTATATTGTAATATTGCAAGTCCACCAAATTAAGTAGGTGCCAAATTTTCAAAAAGCAAATCCGCCAAAATAAGTAGCGCCAAATTAAGTAGATATACAGTACTGAAGTGCATTTATATAAGGCAATAGGGTGATTTTTTAAATAAACATAATAAATCAAGATAAAAATATTTATTTTTATGATGAGTCATCAGCCCTTACATGAGATTACAATATACACAGAACACCCTTACATTAAATTTACAATAAACAAAGAGCCAAGCCATACTTGAAATTTACAATATTCACAGAACACCCTTACATGAAATTTACAATAAACAGAGCCAAGGCCCAAGCAAGCCTTACATGAAATTTACAATAACCATGGAACACCCGTACCAAAAATTTACAATAAACATCAATGGTTTAATTAGAAGCAGACAACAGGCGATTTCACTGGTTGTTATCACAAAATCGCTTGTT